TCATGGGGAAGTCACTGTTGTTGCAAAAAGCCAGTGAGAATGACGTCACCAGGCACTAACCGCTTCCAATATCACCACCCAAATCAAGTTCGCCTTTCACTGTCAAACTCTTCGTATAGCTTGTGTCCATACCCGATTGCCTCTATGTCTGCTTCTAATCTCGCCTCTCCTCATTACAAGGCGCTACTGCTAAGGATCGATGAAATAGAGGTAAGGATATCGCTCAATTTTAAGGGTTTGAATGGAGATTGCTACAAAGAGCTTTATTTGTAGAGTAGCTAGTTGCACAAAAGCACAAAAAGAAGTAAGACCTGTCTCCGAATCGCCCAGGTGGACATGGTGTGTCGCACTTTGTGCCAATGAATCCTGGTGGGCAAAGGCAAGCACCGCTTTGTTTATCGCACAATGCACCGTTGGCACAGTCACATAGTTCTGAGCAGTCGTGGCCGAAGCGGCCCTTGGGCGCAACCTGAAATGGTTCCAGTCAATGAAAACAACAACAACCGAATGGCATAAGTCAACTACCTTTTTTGCAGTCGTCTCCGGAATAGCCCGATTTGCAGAAGCATTTCCCCGTAATTGGATCGCAGTGGGCATTTTCATCGCAATCACATGTCTGGCGACAACCATCGCCGAACGTCCCATCGGGGCAAAGCTAAATACCAGCAGCTACAGGAAATTTAACTGTAATTTCATGAGAACTGCGCAACTCTCGATTCGTATTTTATGATTACTGAACCAAATCATCCGGCCTTTCTATTCTCTGCCCCAGCCAGCGGTTACACTGACTGAATATAGGGAACCAACCGATATTGGGGAAATTTTGGTGAACCCTTGCAAAGCTGTCCTGCAAGGCTTACAAGAAAAAAAGTGCTCATCTATGATTACAACTGTGGTCGAATATCAACAAAAGTGATCATTGAAATTCGCAATGATCCCAGAATATACACTGGTCAGCATAGTGTCCGGGGTAAGAAAGCGGAGCGCCACCTGAAACGTATGTGGTCCAAAGACCGAATTTTGGATCAGACCCCATCTAAATCCACTAAACCTCCTATCTGTCCTAAAGGCAAAGATCGGAATAAGGAATATTATGGCGCTTGAAACTGAGTGTAGAGATGCGAAACGGAACGACAGTGGAGAAAAACGAAAAGAAACCGTCGACAAGGCCGAAATCGAAACCCCTTTCCCTTCTAGCAGTGAAGGAGGCTTGGCTTGGGAAAACGAGTTTTCGGACATGCCGGCCATTGCTGGCTCCGTGCCTTCGGTTGATACGGCAATCAACCCAGCTGATTTCACACGTTATGCCAGCCACGCACCACTTCCGGAGGTGGGCGGGCATAGCGCCGCCAGGCGGCGATAGCGAACAGTACATGCCCTGGGGCTTTATTACCGCGCCGTTTGGGTTTTGAGCGTGGGAACATCTCTACGGGTGCGTAACCACGCACAGCAATGATGGAAGGTTTGTGGTTGGTCCGCTGACTCTACTTGCCTTTAAATGATGTGGATGTCCTGGGAATGACAAAGCACCCGATTTCAAAATCTGCTGGTGCCAGACAGGGGTTGTCTCGAACAAATCATTCCGCCACAACATAGTGAACGCGCAGACCAGGGTCGGTCCTATCGTTGGTACTTTTTCGAAAATTTTTACGACCCCCCTCCCCCAAAGGTGGATTTGGTACGACCCCCCCTTTTCCCGCCCTCAACCACCATCATTCCTCTCTATAGTATTTCATTCTGGTACCACTCAACCCCGCTCCAGAAATTACCGCGAGCGGGCCCGGGTAATTACCTACCCAAAACCGGCACAATTCGCACAAGTTTCCACTTTCTGTCACGTATAACACCGAAAGCAAGTACGACCACCCTCCTCCTCCTCCAAACCAACTAGTACTACCCCGCCCCCCGTTGGTACTTGTACCGACATAGGATTGACCCTGCGCGCAACCCTTTCGTCACTTTGCGCTGGATGAGCACTGGAAAGTGTTCGCATGCCCTGAAATGCTTGGAAAATATACATACCTCTGTGCATCCGTGACCAGTGTATCCTTTAGGACATTGACACTTGCCAGTGATGTGATCGCAAGGCTTTTGATTGGAACAACGACATGTTTGTGAGCAATGACGGCCAAAGTATCCTTTGAGGCAAGCTAAACCAAAAGTCTCGGTCACGTTGATTGATGAAAACCGATTTTGTGATGCTTAATTTAAAATGTGCCGATTGATGACACAAGCTAGTGCTACAATAGACTTTGTAGCTCCTGAACCATAGAAGTTTGCTCCTCCCACATCTCACATCCATATGTTACAGTACTCGCCGTTTGAAATCGAAAATTCACGCGAATAACGCGAATCCTCGTTAATTTCGTGAATTCGTTATAAGTCGGGTCAGAGTGAAGTATTCCAGAAACGGAAAACACCGTTGAACTCAGCTCTTCAAGCGCTACAAGATGGTGCTAAAATATTTTCAGAAAGCTTGATTTCGGAATGCGCCATGCACTCGATTTCATCTCAAAAAGTAGTTGCTCGCATGTGATGTGTATATAATCCCGCTTATGCGGGCTAACCGCTACACACAAAGAAGGGCCTCAAAACTTACCCCAGAATGCGCCACGTACTCAATCTCATCCACTACATTGTGAGATTAGATGAATGTTATTTTCCGAATTCTTAGATCTTCATTTCGTTTTCAAGCGCTTACTAGCTTTACGTGTTCCCTCTGCTCTCAATATCCCATCCTCTGTATATCAAGTGGAATCTTTGAACAGTTCTCAGCAGGCATAGTGGGCCTATTATGTGACATTTTCCATTTTCAGAGGACATGTTTTGCAGAAAGCTGTGAAGATAGCGAACAATTTCCTTCACTGTCGTAGACTACGGTCACTTGTCTGTAGGAATTAAGTGAGGGAAACTCGTCGCAGAATAAGCTTCCTTCCCGTGGTGGCTCCAAAACATGCCTCCTCGTCATGCCCTTGTGGAATGTTCAGATTTTTTGCATTTCCAAATGAACTCGCAGACCTGAAATGTGCCCCGTTAGCTTCCCTGTGAAAATGCTATCGAATGATATGCATTGCTTCTCCCAGTTGAAACTTTGGTTTTTCACCGTTTTCAGCCTTCCCCTATTGCCGGATTGGGCACTATCCCACGATTACTGCCCCAAAATCTCAAAGTTTCATTTTTCGTCGAAACTTTGTCTAGCTGGGGTAATTTTACGAATATGACATTCATTTTTTGATGGTGTCATTTGGCGCCACATTTGACAGCTGTTTTCACCAAATCTGCTGAAACTTCGTCATTTGGGGTTATTTGGGGTCCTGATTACGAAAACGACACCCGTTTTTAGCGCTGGCGCCATTTGGCGCCGTTTGGCGCCAATTTGGCGCCACAGCTGTTTTCACCAAATCTGCTGAAACTTCGTCATTTGGGGTTATTTGGGCCGAGCGTGCCGCACTGGACCATCGAACGAGACCAGGGTCTACGTTCATGCCCGAAAGGATTCCTTTTTCGAGAACTGTAACTTTCCTGAGTCCACGGTGTTCGCACTGCCCTATTTCTGGGGACTGTGTACGTGGACTCCTTCGGATAGTCCGAAGGAAATACGTTTTAACTCTACTGCGGCTCATCATGAAGTAGTACATCGAGCACGGTACTACCATCCTCAGTGGCAGCTGGGGAGCTTACAGGTCAATTGCTGCTCGCTGCCCAACCCGCATCCATCATACGTGCAGTAACGACATATCGTTCTGCGCCTAGCTCACAGTTTTTCCACTCATCTGCTACTCCTCACTGAAAGTTCTCCGATTCATAACTGGTTTCGCCCCCCAGGTCTGACAGTAGGCGCCTGATGAAAAGGTGCCTAAGAGTACACTCTGACTGTAATGTTGGTGTAATCACCAAAGGCGCCCCGGCGCAAGACGAGTGTAACTCCTTGAGGGACGCCAATAGCCCCTAACACATGTTTCAGCGGATTGATGAAACAGCCGTCAAACGGCGCCAACTGGCGCCAGCGCCGAGACTGGTTATCGTTTTGTACCTCAGGACCGCAGAATACCCCCAAAACGAAGTTCAGATCCCAGGAAGACACCAGCTTCAGCAGATTTGGTGAAAACAACCGTGGCGCCAAATTGGCGCCAAACGGCGCCAAATGGCGCCAAATGACACCAGCATCAAAAATGAATGTCATATTCGTAATCAGGGCATCGAATTACCCCAATAGACAAAGTTTCGACGAAAAATGAAACTTTGAGATTTTGGGGCAGTAATCGTGGGATAGTGCCCAATCCGGCAATAGGGGAAGGCTGAAAACGGTGAAAAACCAAAGTTTCAACTGGGAGAAGCAATGCATATCATTCGATAGCATTTTTCACGGGGAAGCTAACGGGGCACATTTCAGGTCTGCGAGTTCATCTGGAAATGCAAAAAATCTGAACATTCCACAAGGGCATGACGAGGAGGCATGTTTGGGGCCACACCACGGAAGGAACGCTTACTTGCGACCGAGTTTTCCACATAATTCCTACAGACAAGTGACCATAGTCTACGACAGTGAAGGAAATTGTTCGCTATCTTCACAGCTTTCTGCAAAACATGTCCTCTGAAAATGGAAAATGTCACATAATAGGCCCACTATGCCTGCTGAGAACTGTTCAAAGGTTCCACTTGATTTACAGAGGATGGGATATTGAGAGCAGAGGAACACGTAAAGCTAGTAAGCGCTTGAAAACGAAATGAAGATCTAAGAATTCGGAAAATAACATTCATCTAATCTCACAATGTAGTGGATGAGATTGAGTACGTGGCGCATTCTGGGGTAAGTTTTGAGGCCCTTCTTTGTGTGTAGCGGTTAGCCCGCATAAGCGGGATTATATACACATCACATGCGAGCAACTACTTTTTGAGATGAAATCGAGTGCATGGCGCATTCCGAAATCAAGCTTTCTGAAAATATTTTAGCACCATCTTGTAGCGCTTGAAGAGCTGAGTTCAACGGTGTTTTCCGTTTCTGGAATACTTCACTCTGACCCGAGTTATAACGAATTCACGAAATTAACGAGGATTCGCGTTATTCGCGTGAATTTTCGATTTCAAACGGCGAGTACTGTACTGAGGACATTCCAAGAGCGCCGTCATCCACGTTCAGGTCAGTCCTTTCACCTATGGATTGCTTGTTTGGAATATCTCCCATAAAAACAAGCAACCCTCTCTTCTGAACCCACCTTCCGGTGCTCAAGTTCGTCTGCCTCAGGTCGCCTTAACTTTACGCAAGTGGTGTCGATGTGCCTTTTGCACACAGGCTGGTACTTCATTCATGCTGATCAAAGTGATTATATTCATTTAATCAAAGTCAGCCCTCATAAAAGTAGGGAAAATGGAAATACAGGCAGCATTCACGATAGATTTCAAGTGGTTCACGTGAAAGAGTTCCTTAAATGGCCTTACTGTGGAAACCCTCGAGATCTGTCAAGGACCCAATGTTTTCGACTGTGGACGACTCAGCAACGAAGAAAGCGGTTAGACGTATACTCTCCTACAGCCGACATCATGCCATCAAACATGATGCTTTGATTCATATGCTTATCTAGACAGGCGAAAAGGTATGGCCTTTGGATGTAAAATGTCCTTTAAGAAGGGAAGAGCGAATAGCGAGTAGTGCTCTACTAGCAGCGTTTTTGGTAGAAGCAGTTGTTTTTGGGGCGTCGCGGTTTTCAGGTTTAAATCCCAACTGTACTGCCAACCAGGCACCTTTCTCGGCAACGCCGTACCTCACTCCATTTGCCGCCTGAATACTGCTTCCTAAGCGAAACAGTTCCCGGTGCGAACCCACATCGTAATTGTTGCCTTCAAGAAAATGGACCAAAATTCTTGAGATGCTCAAATTCCTGTCTATTGCTTCGTCTGTGATTTGTCATGGGTTTACCATAGGATACAGAAGTACTTCTTCAAAAGTGAATAATTTCGTTTGGAGCTCGTTCTTTTGCACTTTCCAATACTTTTCTATAACATACTGCTGCTTTTCCGAGATGGATATCGATCGAAATTTGAGACTATTGACACTTCTTAATAAGCGGATGCATTTTAAATTTCATGAGAATTGACCACCAGCAATCGCATGTAAAACACCTGTTAGAATTGTTGTCTGGTGGGTGAAAATCACATGAAAACCCTCGGAAATGCTGACGAACTAAGCTGTTTGTACCTTCTTTAAGATTCAACCCAGGTTTGCCAGGTTTTCGACAGAAAACCGACCGCACATCGTGAATTTTTGAACTTTGAGAGCGGTTTTTTTGCAGATTGACTCAAAGGTGGTTTCAGGAGAAACCATAGTTTGATACTTACGTCTGCTACATTTTCTTCCTCTCCATCCTGCTTGACATGAACAGTGCCCGCTGATTGCATCACAGGTGGCTCCATTCTCGCATTCGCACACCTCTTCGCAGTTTGCTCCAAAATGTCCAGAAGGGCACGGACGCTCGCATCTGAAATTTTTTTTCAAAAGGATCTAGACACACTTCGATGAATCTGAGAGAGGTGTAAGAATGAGCACTCGTTCTGAAAAGTTCAGCTGTGCCTAGACTGAACCGGTATTACCTCTCGCCTCTCCATCCGGGTAAGCATTCACACTGCCCTGTTGTCCGATTGCAGTTTGCGCCATTTTTACAGTCACAGCGCAGTTCGCAGTTCAGCCCGTATTGGCCAAAGGGGCACACTAGGATAGCACTCGTTGAGAAACAAATAAGATGATGTTGAATCAGTAGTTGAATGAACTCACAAAACTCGCATGCAGGCCCGGTCCATCCGGCTGCACACGTACATTCGCCATTTTTCGAATTGCAGCCACCATCATGCATGCAAAGGCAGTGATGAATACAGTTGGCACCCCAGAGCCCCTCAGGGCAAGCTAAACATAAAAACAGGTGAATAAAGCTGCTAGGCAAAACTGGATCACAACTGTTGCACCATTAGTGATCACTGTCCAAAGCCGCATCCGCTTACGACTGCACAAGGATACAAAGATCCTAGCAACTCTTCCTAGTTCAGGTGGGCTCGCTAATTGGTTTCTAAGTACATGCATTCCTCTATGGCTCCATTCAGCTCTTATGGCTTGGATATGAGCAAATATGTGACTGCCCTGCTGGATTTATGGGGAAGAATTGTGAAACAGGTTCGTTGTGGAATTTCTTTTTTTTTTTCCAGAAACCAAAAAATCTCCGATAAAGTCGCTGTATTCGGTGACACTCCAACTGACAGCGCAATACCACATGCCACCATATTCACCCGAGCTGTGATACTACTACTAATACGGATTTCTCGAAGAGTAATCGCTAGAAAAAGGAACGCTC